AAAAAAAAAAAAAAAAAAAAAAAAAAAAAAAAAAAAAAAAAAAAAAAAAAACCCGACCTAAAATAAATAGGTAAAAATTTTTTATTTTATTTTATTTTTTTAAATAAAAAGAAAAAGAACGTGCTCAAGCCAGATCGCCTGCTTTGCTTGGAGATACACCCAGGATTACAGTGGGTGGGGAATACCCTAAAATTTTCTAATTGTTATTTTATGATTATTGTTATTTCTTAATTAAAAAATTTCCCCTTGTTCTTTTCTGATGATTTAGCTTTCGTATCTCAATTCTTTATTTCTACCGTATCAAGTACTATAAAAATACAATCATTTGCTGCCTAGAGAAGGCGTCCTCCGGGGCTTCTTCCGTGTCGTTCTTCGACCACGCACGGTGTGTAATAAATCCCACTCACTCTGACCGGGAGCGAAAAAAAAAAAAAGAAAAGAAAAGAAAAAGAATGTGGGGCGGACTAGAGTTGATAGGGATTTACGGAGTAGAAACTGGAACTGCAGAAGTGGCTTGTGTGGTCTGGAGAAGTGCGTGCCCCGTATTTTTGACTTGTAAGGTAACGGGGTAAAAAATGAGCAATCCGTAACAGGACTTCCGAGCCGGCTATCGCGGAAGATCGCAGAGGATGCTCCGTTAACCAAGCGCGGTGGATTGGATTGCGGAATGAAATTGAATAATAAGAATCTATCAACTTCATCTTCGTAGGGATCCCCATGTGACAAAGTCACTTTGTCATATGAGGGTACCACACAGTACCTCGAGGCTGACCTGGTCAAATGGACTTCTTCCCCAATGGGATTTACACTACGGGAAGAATCAAAAAAACATTGCCATATATAAAAATGGAATTGAAAGTAATTCTTTTTTAAGAAAATCGTAAATTAAAAATTAAAAAGAAAAGAAAAAGAAAAGGGAAGAAAGGAAAATTATACACAAGAAAAACCAAGACAAGAAGACGGGGCACAATGATAACATTTGGGGGAGTGATGATGATAATGGAATGAGGTGATGACGCCTTCCGAGGAATGCTTGCGACGGGGTGTTTGCATTTTTTTGGTCGCTTCCCCATGTCCGGGGCATACCCGGGGAAAGACTGTTCGATAGAACATCAAGACTGTCGGTCCAGACCAGTTGATCGACCGTCTTCCGTGAATGGTTGGATACTGAGATAAGTCAGGATTTGTAGGGAGGTACAACACCGTCAAATGAAAGGGATTCCAGCGTTGCGGGTGTGATGGATTCAGCCGATCATAGGCGCTGATGATATCAAAAAGCGCTGACGAGATGCGCTGTGGCCAGCGTCATACGATGGGCGAGATCCAATATTTCATCATTCATCATCGGTCCAGACGGCCTCATGAGGCTGTTGGCGCAACCACTGGCTGAGCTGGAGTCCACGAAAATTAGCCGGGATGACGCCCCAGGCGGGTAATGACAACAACACAGGCATATCGGCGTGTCATGAGTCACAGACCCCCCCCCCCCCCCCCCCAAAAAAAAAGGAACTGCCGCCCTACTTTCGAGCAAAACTAATGAACCAAGGTTAGGGCAAAAATCAGTTCTTGCCCCAGACCCCAGACAAGCAAAACAGCGAGGTTAATCTGCCCGAAAAGGGGATTTGTCCGGTGTTCTCAATGAGGAAATATGATGTGATCGCCGAAACGTAAGCCTCAAGTCAGCCATAGGGCGACCTTAATCAACGCCTCCAAAAGGTCCCTCGACGCTTCCAGTTGTGTAAGGTTCTTGTTCCAAGTTCCTTCCTTTAATTACCCGAAGTGGTGACGTCCACTTCCATTAAGTGCAGCCAGTATAACCGTTACCTAACCTCGATGGTAATTCCGTCAACCCCTTGACTAATCTTAGTGTTTCTATCACCTAAACCCTGTCTACCACTTTCCACCGAAGCAAAAGCAACAATTTGGGTGACAAAGCAAATGAGAAAAAAAAATAACTAATAGTCATGGTAATGGTGATCGTAATAATAATCTGGTAATCGAAGTAGCAATGGAAGAATTTCGGGAAATGCACTCCGCAATCCCCAGATCCACTCGCTCTACCACTGTTCGGAATGACTTCCCCAGATGGTGTATTGTAATCCCTTAACTTCTCTTCATGATGACCGGCATATCCATTGTCGATCAGGATGTACCACAGGGGAGAGTGGTGGATTCCTAGCTGGTTAGTTCCGGGTCACTAAACCCACTACATGCTATAGTCTTGACTGGTGATACCTGTAATAAGTAGATTACATGGTCATGGTTCTTCTCCCCATGAACCTGGGGAAATGAGAGAGAGCCAAGCTCGGGATAAAGATACGGTGTCTGGCATGCCTCCTTCAGGCGGCAGGTTAATTTGTCCAGCGCAGCCACCACAAATTTCATCCCTCGGACACCATTATTAATGCTTAAAGTATATTATTTGGGGGGATTACGTACGAGGGCTTTCGGTGTTTCTGGGGAAGCACAGCCGGGGTTTCTTTGTCTCTCGACACAGGTGTGATTTAACTTTCAAGAACAATGAATGTCGACATGCAAGGAGGCCTTCCTCGGTGGTAACTATTTATTTATGATTACGACAAAAAAGTGAGGGTCTAGACGGCTGACGAAAAAGAAAGGATCGTCCAGCAATTCGGTCATGGCCAGGAGACCAAGGAAATGGACAGCATGCACGAAGCCGTCTCAGCTGTTTTCTAGTGGTCGATCATAAGTTTCACCCCGCGGTGGCAAGGGCTGTTTCGAGTATTCTAGAGTCATAGCTGAGCCCTGAGGTACACTGTACTATCGGGGAGGGAGAGCTATTTATCTTTAGCATAGTGTACATACATATATCACTTCAAATATTCTTCAAATTGTTATGTATACGTAACGAACACCTCTGATTTGACCAGTTCCTCCTCGAGTGTCTGCAGACAGGATATAGATTGTAACATTAATATCGAATGCGACAGGATATGCGCCCATATCTACAACTTGAGTACCACTGATGTTAGCAGAGAAACGTTCCGCAGCGGGGAAAGGCGCGGGCGTCTCCACTCACCGCCCGAGAGATATCATGGGACGCCCAAAGCCGATAGGATGAACTCGGCTGTTACGCTCCTGCGATCAGCAGATATTGCATTGTGACTCTGATAGGAGTTCGCGCCCTCTATGGCTCAGAGGTTCCTGGAGCTAAGGAGGGAAGGCTCGAGATGAGATCCTCATATATTAAAGAGGAGGGGGGAATAGCTAATTAGAATGCCCAGATAAGGGTGCCAAAAGTACCCTTTGACTTGGGAATACGAGTACGCATACCAACAGCATTCACCTGGTGGCTGCACATGACAATGCCACATAAACTTAGCTACCTGTAATGACTTTCAACCAAAGACAATGCATGGCATAATCTGATCGGTGGTCGCCCTACTTTACCCCTTATCTCTTATCTCTGGAAAGTACGGCGTACATCTTCTGTGTACCCTATGTCCAAGAGCCACCTGGGGGGAATTATATTCTCGCACCTGATGCCGGGCCGGATGCCGAAAAGTTCCCAGCGCTCTATCTAGTCTCAGCATCACCCCACCGTCGGTGACCACCGAATACTGGAGAAAAGGTGGGACAAATGGGGTACACAAATGGAGTTGGCACGCAGGTACCAGTACCCGGTACGTAATAGTGCTTCCACTTACCCTTAGTTAGCGTCGACACGTAAGTAACTTGGGGTTTCATGTTAACACAGAAATTATTTTTTGTAAGTCTCACAAGTGTCAGAGAAGCACTTCCAGGCTGACATGTTTCCCCCTTTTTCCCGCGTTTTGCCGAGCAATTGGTTTTGCATAGCCACAGTCTCGCTGCTGTTATTGATAATTTCATTACCAATGATTTTATGAGACCAAGAGAGACCGAATCATCAATGACGGGTTGCCTACAACCGCCTGTACTTATCAGTTCTGTATGGGCATTGGGGCAGTTGTCACGAGCTCTAACCAAGGCTATTGACTGGCCAATTCGATAGAATGCAAGCCGACGGGTCTTGCATAGTCGAGTATCACAGTCGATATCTCGTGAGATTCCGCGTAAAGTTCAGCACGATCTTGATTCTTGAATGATGAGGGACAAATGGCGTATGTTTTAGGCAAGAAGTTGCCTTTGAAAAGGAAAGAAAAAAGAACCCTATCTCCATTGAGAGCGCAATGACCGCCTCCTCACCTCAACTTCAATATGCACAGTTCCGTAAGATGCTATAGAAACAAGAAGGATTGAAGGGTGATCACGGAAGGATATGGAAGCGATTCTAATTATTTTATTCGGTTTTATTTTATTCTATCTTGTCTTTCATCATGGGTCTTCATTCAATACTTGAGAAAGGACCTTCGTCTTTGACCTTCCTCTTCTGCCAGAAAGCGGACGGCAAGTTCTCGGACTGGCGAAAATCTTCCCCGCGATGATCACAGGCGGTGATCTACAGATTTTTGGTCATTCCATTATCAACATATCGCCCACTCTTTAGGGTTATGAGATCGTCCTCGTTTTGGAGGTCTTTTCACTGAAAATGGGTATTCACTCCCGCTTTCAACCAAACCCTTACCCCCCTTGGGTAAGTTGCGGATGGCCCCATATTTTGGGAGTGTGGGATGGGAAGATTGTCTCTAATATACGTATCTGCAGGTTGCCTACCGTTACCGTGGAAGTTGAAGAGCTAAAGTGGGGAAAATGAATAAAAAATCTTCTGATTCCAGATTGATGATCACTTAGCCGCCAAGTTCTCTGGAAAGCTGGTTATCCGGAGGTCGTTACGACCCTCCTCAGTGTATTCCCTCGTTCTCCATCAGACGATTTTTTACCCCACCTTGAGATAGGAAAATCCTTCCTCGGTACCGCCGTTTACGTACAGTCGCTATCAATAATCAGGCCAAGAAAGACACTACCCCATATTGGGGCCCCCAGTCTGTGCAGCATATGTCCAACACATCATCCCGGGGAGGTTTCCGCTCAGCCTCGATCCACTGAGTTTACTTCCAAGGCGCCCGATGAGAATATTAATACCTTCCTATTAAGAGACCGACATCGCTGGTGTATTTTTCTCCTTTTTTCCAGACTTCTGGCCTCGCATCTGGACCAAGTAGGGCTGTATCGATCTGAAGGATGTACAGTCCATCCCGTGGTGACTAAACATGCTGATCCAGCCCAGAACAGATGCCACTTGAATCACCCCCATGTCAATGAATAAGCGCCTAGGATGTAGCGTATGCAGCACTATGCACAGCTGAGGAGAACTGGCGATCATTCCATTGACCAACCGCTGTGTCGGTGTGTGTGTGTGTGTGTGGGGTAAAATGAGAAAAGGGAAAAAAAAAAAAAAAAGAAAAGAAAAGAACAGGTAACCTAAAAATGTACGCGTTGGTGACCCTCTCTCTTTCTCTCTTTTCCTGGCCCAACTACTCTGTGCTGCAAGGTCCAATTACGAGATCGAATCAAGCACTCAAGCTTAGATGGCGACAACTTACTATGCTCCATGCACGGGTTCAGCTCCTTTCGCTTAGTTCCGGATAAAAGTCCGCTTAGAAAGGCTGCCACCGAACTGTGGAGTTCGGTGATCTAACTCTAGTGACGATCATGGATATTACTACAGATGCGCAAACCTGAAGAGGCAATTCGAGCCAGCTTTGGCATGAGAGTTAAGGACACGATGTGGTATATGCTTCGATGTCAACATGACCCCGGAAATCTTCAACACGAATATGCTTCGATTCTGGGGTTATCTTCTTTTTTTTTTTTTCTTTTTCAAATTTTAGCGCCTTAACCTCTGTTTAACCCCACATTGCAGTTACATGATGGATTAGTATAAGTATGATGTTACACAGGCATTCGACAGCAACCCCCATGGCGAACCTCCCCCCCCTGGCCATGATGGTTGTACGACCGACATACATATTGTTGAACTGAACTATCGGTGCTACGATAATCTTTACCAAAAATAAACCCGATCATGACGTGCTCGAGGGCGAATCGTTGGCAATGTTACCTCATATACTATGGTAATGCCCTGATTTCGCTTCCTGCACGCGCCAGACCCATCGAGAATTGCGTTTCCGCACTGCATGACTGGCGTATATGAAGGGCTTTCTGGCCCCTCGAAGGGGTATCCTGTCACGCAACACAGCATTACTACCTCAGTCCTGCAATCGCTCCTCAGATTGCCGCTTCCAAGCGCCAATGACAACGTAACATGCTCGGTGCTTGGCAAATATGTGCGGGGATAAAATCCGGGGAAGTCACCATAGCATATCACACGGTCACTCAGGGACCTGCTGTAGCCTTTATCAGGGATTAGAAGGAACCTGATATGCAGGGAATGCTTATCAGCAGAAAATTGCTGGTTTCTGCGATAGTCCAGGCTACTGAACTCTGATAGAGCCCACCGGATAGATTGATACAGGGTAGTATATTACCCTGGTATTATTTGACACATACCACACTCTGTAACGGATTGCGACAGCGCAAAACCCACGACCGGGCCGGTGCTATGCACACGCACCGAGAGGGCCCCCACAAGGCGCCAAGGCTATCGATCCGGGGGCCCACAAGCTTCTGGAACAGAACTTTTCAGCCAGTCAGATTGCGACAGCCGTCTCACGCTGATATCACCGATTCACAGGCTCACAGCCGCCGCCCCCAGGTTATGCGGGGCCGCGCTTCCGGAATCCGGCCGCTGTTATTCAATTACACTTTAGCCCAGGCTCCCTACTACTAGTACTACTGCTACTGGCAGTAGTACTATTGCTGGAACGCCCAATGCCACCAGTTGACATCGTCATTGGTGGAATTTGGTGTACCCTGCTCCCTATCAGCGACGGACTTTTCCCTTGATTAGAAGAGCTTCCAAACTCAGGCTAATCTGGAGAGATACCTTATCCATTATCTGGGGATGAACGATACGGAGTAAGATGAGCCGAAGTGGGTAGGTAACCCCAAAGGTCCTTGATTTACCTTTGTACCTTACCTAAGTATCCAAGGAGGTCCAAAAATACCACCTCGACAGGGCCACGACGGAAAAGGGAGTGAAACGAAAAGGGCCGAAGTTTTACCATTGGTTGGTGCTGACCACGATATGAAAAATTTGATCATTTTTCAGCTCCGGATACTACCCCCATGGATTCCTCAGGGATAATTTTTTTATTACCCTACTTACCTACCCCTGATTCCATGGTTACTCCGAATTACGGCAGTTGTGGTGAGGTCTGGGGAGTGAGGCTTGGCGACCCGACCGGTAACTCATTTTGTTGGCCGATGACACGTCGCCTGAGGAGCAATTCGGGAAGGTAAAGCGATCTTACTGATACCTTGCCAGGTGATATCGCCGCTTTTCTGCAATCAGATACCCATGTGTATTCTCCTCGCGTTCTTACAGGGGGGCACATGATTCCCTGACAAGTCCTTATTTCACCACATGCTCCGTGAAGTAAATTAGCAAGGTACTAGCGTCACTAGAGGCAAAGCTTGGGGGGAATAGAATATGGAGATAGGCAAAAAGCATGGAGCTTTCCCCTGAATCCTAGTCCAGTTTTCTCCATATCTAACGACTGAAGGAGGGGGGGATTAATTTAATCAGTAGGTCTGTGTCTCGCCTCTGATTGTACGATACACAGCAACTGTCTAGTTCGAGGGAGCTGCTCCGGAGTCAATCAGGTACTAGCGTGCGATAGCGCTTGTGATAGTTAATGCCAATCACATGTTCAAATCACAACATCTGCAGTGATTGTGCAGAGAGGAAGTCCGGAGAATAGTCCTTATTCTTTCGCACCTTGCGAGGGATGATCCGCGTCAGATTACCCAATTGCAGCTCTACATTCCAGACTTATCTTTTTCCCCTCTCCCTTTGGAACATGATTTCTTATCGTGAAGTTTAGGTATCTTTCATGTTACACACCCCGAATTAGGTACCACTCTATTTTACCTACTAGACTGAACTTACCTCCCGAACAAGTTGTACCCCATACACTGTGGCACAGTCTGTATGTTACGTCCTGACCGCTATAGCGGGGCAATGACCAAAGGGGGTGGGGGGTAACAATTGGAGAGAGTGCGGGAAAAAAAAAAAAAATTAAACTAGGAAAATAAAATAAAATAGAAATAAAAAAAGGGACCACATTTTCCAACGGAAGATGGCCGGATTGCGTCACGAAAAATGATTTGCAGCTAATTCAGGAGTCGAGACATGGGCCTGCTTTAGTGGCGCGCACTGCCGTCTTTCTAGATGACAATCTCCCGTCTGGAGGGATGGTTGACTGAGCTGATTGGATCTCTGCCTGGTAGGCTTCGGTACTAGCCAGAGATTCAGATCACGAAAACGAGAGGTGTCATCCAGCAATAGGATTGTGTTGTGGACATTTCATGTACAATTGTCATACAGCGTATGCCACGTCGTGAAGTTTAAGTTGCTCATGGGTGAAGGGGGTCGACTGTAACTTGAAGAATCATACAAAGAAGGGGGGGGGAGGAGAAAGAAAAGAAAAAGGATTGACAAGTCCAGAACTTCTGCCACGAACAAAAGCCGGAGGCAAAATACCTGCAAGAGTGATACGGTCCATCGGATGATTTCGGGGGAATGCCGGACTTTCTTCCCTCTGGGGGACCGTCTTGCGAAGGGAAGTTTTTTCAGCGGATTGCGGAGAAATTTCCTTACCTAAGAACCCTAATAGACCGCTGGCGACTTGTCACTAAAGAATTTTTTTCCCCTCCTCTCCAGACCCCAAAGGGTTCCTCGGTGAAAGTTCTTCTCCCCCTCATCCACACTAGTACAAGACTGAGTAGGTGCTCCGTGGCAGGGAATTTTTTTTTATTTTTTATTTATTTATATTTTTTTTTTTCAACTACCCGTCCCCAGTCACTCCATAGTACTGGACGGACTTCTGGGCGCAAGGCTCTTTCGTACACCCGCTGAGGCAATTTTCCCTCGGCATCTCCGTCCCGACTCAATTCCTCTAGTTTTAGCCCTCTGCCGACTCCGTCCCGAGTCCCGTGGTGGTCTGAGGCCGAATGACTGGACACGGCGGCCTTCCTTTTCCAGCCTGTGCCCTGAGATCTGTCCAGTGGTTAGGTTTGCTCCTTTGGGTAATCGTGTAACTTTTGTTATTTCCCTTTCCTATTCCATTACCATATAGATTATCAATTAACTATGCCATTGTCCCGCGGCATTTGACCATGGACACAGTCCGATGTGTAATGGGTAACAAAGTTTGCCTCTGCGGACCTTTTTCTTCCTTCGTTTCTTTACCGTTTCGACGTTCTTCTTGAGGACCCGGTGCGGTTGGATAGCGGTGAGGATGGGGTAGAAAAGTTTTTCTTCTCCATTGACGCTAAGAAAAGTTGATTTATGGTTATCTGCGTTTAGCGTTACATTCCCAATTGTCTATTTTTTGGGGGGGGGTTAGGAATTTTTTGGAATTTTTTCTTTCTCAGACCCATTGTATATTGTTGGGGTAAATCCATAGAACCATCTCAGAGACCTAGACTGATCCCTGTCTATTAGGGCAAGATAAGACCACCACTTCAATCACATGCCTTGGTCGAGACACGTGAAAGTAAATGCCCTCAACGGCTCTGGTCTCAGCTGTGAAGTATCATCTCTTGCTACCCCTCGGCATTGAGAAGAACTTGTGATAGAATCCTAGTGTATCGGCTATCCATAGCATTTGGTTTGACGTTGATGTACAGCTACGCTTAACTACTGCCACTTCGGCTTGCGGTATGCGCTATGGCACCCAGCGCTATGCATGCTGACTCTGGGTGGACAACGTGCATTAATCATGCGATTATCTGGACATACAGTCTGATGGACGATGGGACAGCCATCTTTGACTAGGGGTCATGAACCTACCATCGTGAGGCCATTTTGTGCCCCATACATACCTACATATATATATCGAAGCAGCTCTTATGCACATCAAGTAACCGTACGTCCTATCCGACTGAATTGGGTATTTCATTCGGGTTGAACCGCATCGTGCCTAGCGCTCGTCGACCCCACAAAAACCATCAGGCCACTGCTGTATACTATCCAGCTCAGACACGATGGTGAGCTATCGAGGAACGAGGTTGGCCATATGGTTGGTCACGGTCTGGCCCGCTAATTGAGTAGAATGGTATCCTTCTCTAGGTCCTATACAACTGTCGTGATCTAGGCAGCGGAGTCAATGGCCAGATGGCAGTTTATACTCTATACTAAACCATTATCGCTCATTACGCTTATCTTCTAGCTGGAGTCGGCTACCCAGCGTCGCTGGGCGGAGTCGCTTCCCATTCAATTCGCAGCTTCTTCGAGTGCTTTGGAGGTGTTGTACCAAATCGATGCACAGGACAGGCAGTATATAGCAAAGTATCACAGGCCCTGGAGCTGTCTCCCAGAACAGCTCAGTTCTTCTTGACTGCCGTTGTACGGCTATATAGTCGGCAATATTGCCGGAAGCAGAAATGATGTCGTCGCGCCTCGAGGATTCTGCCGCGTCTTCCCGCTTTCCTGATAATCTCCAAAGTTCTTCTTTTTCATGCTTCACTAGTAGCCTACAATGAACGTTTCTTGGATACTGCTCAGCTCTGTTGACAATTGAGGCTAGGACCCTCTAATATAATCTGCCCTCCTTTCACGGGCCTTCAAACGGCTCGGCTCTCTTTCCCCTTCCCTCATTTGCCTGCTCTTGTGTCCTTTCTGCTGTCATCATGGCTCCCCCGCGGCAGCGTGCGACAGCCGTTCACGATGACTCTCGATCCGAAGCATCTAGTACTACAAGAGAGCAGAAGACTGGCGCTGGAAAAGGTCGCAAGGCAGCAAACAACTCTACGGTGGTGAACTCTGCCTCCCATGTCAAGATTTCCTCCAATGTTGCCAATGTCACCAGCGCCCCCATGGGAGATGGCGACCAGCCAGACAATCAGCCCAAAGTAAGTTATTTTTCTTGCCAAACACCCGAAATCACTGCCGTCCATCTATCCTCTATACTAAACAGTCATCTCGTGCTGTTGTTCAAATTGCTAACGTCTAATTCTCGTGCCCCAGGTACCCTGGTCCGAGATGCCTCTCGAATTCCTCCACTCCTACCGACACGCCTACAAAATATCCTCACCCAGCGCCTATCCCACCGAATACTCCCAGCTCATCCTCTCCAAAGGAATCGGCCTCCTATCCCCTACCTCCATCGCCGCCCAACGGGCCCATCTTCGCCAAAGCCAGAACACGAACGGCTCTCACACCAACAACAAAAAACCCCATCCCCCCCACATCGCAAGCAGGACCAATGGCACGAAAGGCTCCTCAGGACACAACCCCAAGAACCAAAGCGCAATGGAAGGAAAGAATGCCCTAAACCATATTATCGGCCAGGACCGCGTGAGCAAGAATCACCTTGCATTCACCGTCCGCAAACATTTCAATAGCGCCGGTCTCGCGGAGCAAGAAGCCATTGCGCGGTTTCTGTACAAAGTTCGGGAAGAAGGCAGAGGAAGACAGTTTCGTCTGAGGTTTCAACCTTAGTCGCTTCTGTTTATTCTTTTCTTCGCCTATACTTTTTTTTTTTTTTTTTTTTTTCTTTCCGCGATCGCTGCCTACGTCACTCTGTACAAGATATACTACGATTTCGGAGTCTTCTGCCACATTCGCACCCCCTCTTCTCATGATACCCACTGGCGCAGATTGTTTACGTTTTTTGGTCTTACTTGTTTTATCTTTATGTTTATGCTTTTTTGATACAGAACTACTCTTCCCCGGACCTATGAAAGACGATACAGCCCCATGACTTGTCTTAATGCCTTGGATCTGTCAGATATTTGCTCAGGTCTACTTATATTGTTGCTTGGGGGTTGGGATACTCTGTCTGTTTGGGTCTAGGTCTCTAATCCACTATGTTATGCATAATATCATGTACTATAATGGAGTTCTGGGTTCCACTGTACTTTTATTATGGTGTGCCGAGTCTGGCCCCCTGTGTCTGAATATAATGGAGGATATTTGTTGCGCTTAATAATATCGTTTCAATCAAGTACATGCCTGCATTTTTTCTTCGTCATGATTTATGTATATACATACATATATTGGGCTTCAAAAACTATATCTCGCAGGGCACAAGCCCCGCGAAGATAAAAACAAACGCACACAAGTTGAAACATACAGCATTAGCGCATATAATCAGCGAAAAAGAGTAGACATAACGCCTGAATGCAAATTTCCAGTCCATGAGTCTATCATACTTCATAATCCAACCCGTTGCATGAGCGCCGCTTACTTCCATGCGTTGAGACCCGCCCAAGGATCGGCTGACGCGGGCTGGCCTTGCGACTGTGAGGATTGGGACTGCACCTTGTGATGCTGACTTGAGCCGTACGGTCTGTTTTGGGCGTATCCGCCAGGGCCAGAGGGGAAGGGTCCCGTGGACGGGGGATACGAGGTTTGCTGGGGACGCGGTGGCGGGGGAGGCGGGACGTACCCCTGAGGCATAAATTGCGAGGGTGCAGTGGGTGGAGTTGGATTGGAGTAGCCGCTGTATGGGGTGGGCGTGGACGAAAAATATTGTTGGGTTGGAGGAGGCGAGGCGGAGGCGGGGAAGGGATACGCCATGGGGTTATAGCTCTCAGTGAGCGGTGCTGCCGCCCCCTGTTGGAAAGGTTGGCCCGGCACGTATGAAACGCCGGCCCCAGAACTTGTGTATTGACCATACGGTGCCGGAGAGTGAGAGAGCGGGGGTCCGTGGGATTGTCCTGCAACAGGAGGATAACGCGGCGACATCTTCGGCGAGGATATGCCAGGACCCGGATAGCTGGGTGTCTGCACAGGAGGCGGAGGAGACTTCACCTTTGTCGGAACCCCTGAAGATGAGGAAGAAGACGGCTTAGGCTCAGTAGAAAGACGTTCCATCAACTGCCTGAGCTTTTCCCGTTCACGATCCTCCTGTTCCGTCGCACTACTCGCCTTCTCGCGTTCGATTTGCCCCAAAAGCTGAGCGCCTTCAGACCTCCGATTGTTGATGAAAGTTTCCACATTCTTCCTCAGGCTCTCCACTGTGTCGCCCATTTCGGTATAAAAGGTCTGTGCTTGTCTAACTCCCGATAGCAGGCCATTGAACGCATCGTATACCTTTTTATACCGCGCCATGACTGCATTTCTTTGGCGGGTTATGGTTTCATATTTCGACTGTTCGGCCCGCACTCGCTTGTCCTGAAGCAAGTCGCCATAGATTTTAGTGAGCTCTTTCATTAGTGAGGCTTGCTTATGGTTGGCTTGTAGCAACCGGTTTTGGTGTGGGCGGAATTTCTCCAATTCAGCTTCGAAAAGCTGCGCCTCCTGCCCAGCAATGGACTTCTTGTTCAGTATGAGCACATTCGATATGTCATCAGTGTGAACCTTCAAGCACAATATTAGCATTGGAGAGAACTGAATCTTCGGGGCATATGCATACCTTCTCTTTCAGGTCTTTCAAGACCTGGGACCGTTCGCGCTTGAGCAAGTTCAACTTCTTGAGAATGGACTCAACCATGGAAATCTGTTCCGCCACCGAAAGCCCTCCCTCATCGTAAACATCGTCTATCAAGCTTACTTCCGATGTTGGCGCGTAAGGGCTACTGTGGCCATTCTTGCCTTTGCCAAACTTAGACCCGGCCTTGATCATCGCCCGCTGGAACAATACATCGGCCTCGTCTGTTTCTCCCGCAGATCGCATCTCATCAAAATCCGACTCATACTGTCGAAATGTAGAGAGGAGTTGAGAATCGCTGGCACTGGCTTCATTGACGGTGTCCCGATATGTACGAACATCGCCGCGTAGTGTAGTATTCAGCCTTGCACTAGGCTGCTGACTCCAATCAGGTCCGTACTTAGAGCGCATCTTTTCGCAAACACTTTCCTCCAGGTCAAGTTGCTTAGCGCATTGATCTAGCTGGGCCAGCGTTTCCGATTTGCGCTCCTGCAAACTATCAAACGCTTTGGTGAAAGATTGATGCCCCGCAAGATCTTGACACCATCGTCGGAACTCGTCATCAACTGTCATCTCCTGGTCCATCCCGCCCTTGAGAATGTTCAAGCTTCCAGGTAGCTTCAGATAGTCCAAACTCGCGGCCATTTCTCCATTTGCTGTTTCAACTTTCTCCGTTTCCGCCCGTATCAACTTCGCCTTTTCCTCGTCATAGAGACTGGCTGTCTCCGTGACAGACATAGGTACAAGTTTCTGAAAGATATCCGGCCCGATGATCCGCTGGATATCCTGTCCCTGATAGAGCTCGCTGACTGGGATGGCCTTCGCCGCAGGCAGCTTTGCAACAGCCGACAGGCCCGCTTCGTTCGGAACTGGCTGGTGGTAGATGAAATCATTGTCCTTAGTGAATGTCACGAGATTAGCCTGTACAGTTGCAAGGTGATATTTGACGATGTCCAACAGAGTAGAGCCCGACTCGGCGCTCAGGTTTGAATTGGGAGGTACGGATGATGGGAAGGACTTTGCCCAACTCAATGCAGCAGTTGAGTTCTTCTCGGCTAGCTGAAGCCTAGCAATGGCCACCCCATGCGATCCGCTCTCACTGTCAGCCATGGCTTGGTAATAAGAAGCCACCGAAGCCATATGCGCCGCTTTAGCTTGAACCACAACCACCCAGACCTTCTCAAAGACACCCTTCGCATACTCTTGCATCCCCTCAACTGCCTGTGAGTATAGATAAGCTGATTGACTGGCGAGTTTTGCAAGGAAGCCGACTTTCTTTTGGTCGGCCACTTGTTTCTCGAGGAAGACCTCTTGACCCTGGGCTAGGGTGATATTGATTAGAGTCTTAACAGTCTCTCGGTTCAGGTCGGTCGACGGTGCGTGTAGGAAGTTCTCATTGATATAGGTAAACATCCCCGCGGCCGCTTGAAATGAGTGATAGGCGGTTTTCAGGCCCGAATCCTCCGCCCGGTTCTGATTCGCAGCATGGCAGGACAGGACGGCAGATATGTTAAAAATGATTGAGGCTTTCTCGAAAGCTAGGGAGTATTGAGAGGTGGGCTTATGTGTGAAAGCATCGTACCTATGACGAGATATTTTATGTTAGAGGTTTGAGTAACAAGAAAATGAGGGCGGTCGGAAAGTATGACCAAATACATACCAAGTGAATGATATTTTAATGTGATTTTCGTCCACAGGAAACCTCAGGTCGAGGAGCTCCAGCTGCCCATAATACCGATACAATAGGTCGCGCCCTGTCGCACTATCTTTCCCCGCACCTCTCATATCCTGGCGCAATCTGTTGAGGGTTGCGCATTCTTGGCCATATCTTTCGGGGTCTTCACCATAGGTCTGGCGTATGTAGTCCTTGAGTGGTTGGATCCAATCAATTTCGTTGGTCTGCTTCAGCGGACATGAGATCATTGGCGACTGAACCATCTTGTAGGTCGGAAGGAGCCGGGAGCTCCCATCCACAGACGGAGAAAATACAACGGAGCCGAACTGGGGGGTATGAGGGCGAAAGAATAGCTGGGTGGGCTTGCGCGGTGGAAGGGAGGAGGGGAGGACTATCGGCAATGGAGAGCTGTGGGGTAAAGGAAGGCAGGAGGTCAACAAGGTTAGCGGAACGTAGCTGAGGGTCGTTAGCTAAGATTAGTGGGGACATCGGGGAAGGGGGGGAAGATATCCGAACCGGGTGATAATATACGTAGAAAAGAAACTAAAGGGAAATTGCGCGGGACGACAGAGCAAATTGTTGTTTGAGAAGATGGTGGTTGGAAACTCAAGTAAAGGTTGGAAGGCAGCGACTTTGGTTTAGTTAACAATTTAATGACGCTGTGGCCCATCGACTCCTCAGGCGCCAATATGGCTGAATAACCGCCCGAAGTAATTTCCTTGCCTGATTTACATGGCACGCCCGTGAATATAGTATATAGAAGAAGTAGAGAATGTCTTTCGTGCGTAAGGTCTAATTATACATACATACATAGATACATACAGTCCCGGTCTCTCTATTGACACACGACCGTTTCTCCCAAACGGTCGAAATGAACGCAGACACAAAAATTTCCCAACTCTCGTAAATGGTGAACCCCTTATCTCGCCGGCGCTATGATATTGCGACAAAAAAAAATTCAAATACGTAGTGATAACATGACCCTGAAGGAAGTAGTATATTGAAGCCTTGATTATGTATGTCACTTGAACTCCTTTCAGTTCGACTTCTTTTCGCCGTCGTTCTTGCTGCTGTCGCCTGATTCCTTCTTGCTCGATTCTTCGGGTGAGTTCTCACACTTGTTCACGAGTTTGTGCCAAGCGGATTTGAGAAATCCTTCGTTTTTGGAGTCTCCTGCGGAAGCGTCCCCTCCGGACGGTGGGCTGTGTGTTCGTCAGTACCAGTAGCAGGAAATGCTGTCCAAACCCGCGTAACTCACCTATCCTTTCCAACGTCCATGACTCGCTTGGCCGTCTTGTCACCCATCTCATCCGCAAGAACTTCTAGGATAGTCCGCTGGTTACCTGTCAAGTACTTGGGCATGGCAACCTTGAACTCGACCTTGAGATCACCAGTGGGGCTGAAGCGACTCGTACGACTACCAAGTCGCTTCATACCCATTCCAGAAAGTGTGACCTTGTCGCCGGTGCCAGTACCCGTGCCAACCTTAATCTTGACTTCACCATCAAGGGTCGGCACGGTTACTTCACCACCCAAAAGAGCAGTCGTGAGGGGAATCTGAGCCGTATAGAGAATATCGGAACCGGAACGGCTGAATCTATGGTCAGGAGCGACCCGAATGGACACGTACAGGTCGCCTCGTTGTGTGCGGGCTCCGGGTGCGGCAGATGTTCCGGTGGGTGGTGCATCTCCTTCGTTGCTCACGCGCAAGCGCATGCCATCCTCTACACCACCTGGAATGTCAACCTGTACGGTCTTTTTGCCCCTGACCACACCGTTGCCATTGCAGGAGCCACACTCCGAGCCCCTTGGGACAGACATGCCTGCACCTCCACAGGCATCACAAGTGGCTGCCACCTGGAAGCCTCCCTGCATAAAGTGCACACGGGTTCCAGAGCCGTTGCATACACGGCACTGGGTGCGTTTGGCGCCTTTCTTAAGCCCGTCGCCGTTACATGTGCCGCATGGAGTCAAAGGTGTGATAACGATATCTTTTGTTGTACCTTTCGCGGCTTCCATGAAGGAAATGTTGGTCTGGACTTCAATGTCTTCGCCTACCAGAATCTCTTGGAACGGGCCCCGTCGACCTCGACCAGAACGACGTGCGCCACCTGTGAATGCGCCGAAGAGATCCTCGAAATTGATATCTGCTCCTCCAAAACCACCAGGGAAACCACCTCCAAAGCCACCGCCAAAACCGTGGAACCCACCGGCACCTGCGAACGGGTTACCGCCGGCTGCGCTGGGGTCGAAGCCACCGTTTTGGTCGAACGCTGCGGAGCCAAATCGATCGTAGTTCTCACGCTTCTTGGGATCGGACAGTAACTCGTAAGCTGTCTGGGCCTCCGCGAACTTTTCCTTAGCATTTGGCTCCTTGTTGGTGTCCGGGTGGTATTTCTTTGCCATTCCATAGTAGGCTTTCTTGATATCGCCTGCGGATGCATTTTTATCGACTCCTAAGACTTTGTATGGGTCGGGGACCGCGGCAAGGGGAGCAGTAGTATGGAAAATCTATACAGGTTAGAAGTGAAATCAGTCATGACTCAATGATGCACATGTTTTAAAGGCAGCTTACCCTTGACGAGGAAAACACAGGTTGCTTCTTATTAGTTGCACCACATCGCACCCGCTTGTCAGTTGATGAAGTCGGTGAGGCATGGTAGGCCCGAACGCTGGTTGCTGGGCTCTTCGAATATTGCCGCGATGTACTCCGGAGTAAACGGGCGGGAATAGCCGCGGCCTTGGGCATTGCGGCGGAAGTAGCGCTCATGTTGTGAAATGAACGGGCATTAACCCAACGGACAGACTGGACCAGGAGGAGAAGGGAGTGATTTGAAATCAATGGTGTTGATTTGGAAAATCCGAGTACGCCAGTGACCGTTTTAAGCCGAGTTTTGCCGCCTCCTGATATGGAGAAACTTAGAAGCTTCGAGTCGTTCCGTTCGAAAAAGTTTCCCGACCGGAGAAACGATGTACCGAGACGATGATGATGAAAGGCTTCTTGCTTCGGTAATCAATCACTCGTACCTCAACTAGCTGCTGGTCCGACCATTGCTCCTGAAGCTTCTCATTTTTCCCCCAATCCCTTTTTCTTTTTTAATCTTCCCGTGAGGGTCTTTGTATTCTTGTGTTTGATTCTTGTACTATAGCTTTCCTATATCCCTATTCTTCTTCTCCCATATTCGCAGCTACAACTATAGCATGCTCCGCGGCCAGTCCCTCCCCTGGAGAGCTGCGCTCCACCAGACACCGCGCCCATTGATTATTCGGCCTCTGCTCGCTTCACCGAGATACAATGCCAGTGCCCGGTCAATCCTAGTTTCGTCGCGCCTCTCCCGCTCCGTCCCTCCCTCCCGCACCTTCTCGTCAAGCTCCATTCGCCGAAGAGAGAAACCCCCACCCGGAGACGGCAAGGAAGACCCGGACCATAAAGAGCAGAAGGACAAGAACGAGGATAAGGATGTTGAACGCACTTCTGAACCTCGACGCAAAGTTAGCGATCAGTCAGGGAAACATGGCTCATCAACAGAACCCGGAGCTCCGACATCGGGATCTACAAAACGGAGAGAGAAGCAGACGGTGGACAAGGAGCAACGAGGATTGGAGGATGATGGAAAGAAGCCCAATAATGTAGCTGAAGGCAAAGGAAACTCCAATGAACCGTCTCCTATTCCTGTCAGTGGCGACTCAGATTCCAAGCCTAGTGGCGCAAACAACGGGGGCAACGAAGATGGTGGAAAGAAAGGCAAGAAGGGCTCCAGCGACAAAGCTTTGCAGAAGCCTTCTGTTCCTGAAGTTTATCCCCAGGTCATGGCCATTCCCATCGCGAAGCGCCCGTTATTCCCGGGCTTTTACAAAGCCATCACTATCCGAGATCCAAATGTGGCAATGGCTATCCAGGACATGATGAAGCGTGGGCAGCCTTATGTGGGAGCTTTTTTGTTCAAGGATGAGAACGCTGACGGAGATGTGATCGAAAATCTTGATGATGTATACGATGTTGGAGTGTTCGCTCAGATTACTGCTGCTTATCCTCTTCGTGGGGAAGCTAGTGGCGTGACGGCTGTGCTTTATCCTCACCGACGCATCAAGGTCTCATCTTTGTTGCCACCCAGTGATTCGGCGAAGGCTTCCGCTACAGAAGACAAGCCGTCTGAAAAACAGGGCGATGTTGTAGCCAGCTTTGAGGAGGGAACTCAGGAGCTGGCACCCAAGGATCACTACGAGCCTACATCATTTTTGCGAAAGTACCCAGTCAGCTTGGTTAACGTAGAGAACCTGGCGGAAGTGCCTTATGACAAGAAGAGCGCCATTATTCGTGCAGTGACCAGTGAGATTGTCAATGTCTGTAAAGAAATCGCCAGCCTGAACCCTCTGTTCCGCGACCAGATCTCCGCTTTCTATACCGACCAATTCCCTGGAAACTTGAGTGACGAGCCGTCTAAGTTGGCCGACTTTGCAGCTGCTGTTTCTGCTGGAGAACTGCAGGAGATGCAAGAGGTCCTCGAAATAATGGATATTGAGGAGAGACTTCCTAAAGCCTTGGTTGTATTGAAGAAAGAGTTAATGAACGCGCAACTTCAGTCAAAGATCTCAAAAGATGTGGAGGCTAAGATTCAAAAGCGCCAACGAGAGTACTGGCTAATGGAGCAGATGAAGGGCATCAAGAGAGAGTTAGGTATCGAATCCGATGGTAAGGACAAGCTTGTTGAAAAGTTCAAAGAGAAGGCGGAGAAGCTTGCTATGCCAGAGGCTGTCAAGAAGGTCTTTGACGAGGAACTCAATAAGCTGGCTCATCTGGAACCGGCTGCTTCGGAGTTTAATGTCACCCGCAACTATCTCGACTGGTTGACCCAGATACCCTGGGGCCAGAAGAGTGTTGAGAACTTTGGCATCCAACACGCAACATCCGTTTTAGATGAAGACCACTACGGCCTGAAGGATGTCAAGGACCGTATTCTTGAGTTCATTGCCGTCGGAAAACTTCGTGGAACCGTTGAAGGCAAGATTCTTTGCCTTGTGGGACCGCCTGGTGTTGGAAAGACTAGTATTGGAAAGTCAATCGCTCGGGCTTTGAACAGGCAATATTACCGCTTTTCCGTTGGTGGCTTGACGGATGTCGCAGAAATCAAGGGGCACCGTAGGACCTATGTGGGTGCTCTTCCGGGACGCATCATCCAAGCCCTCAAGAAATGCCAGACGGAAAATCCTTTAATTTTGATTGACGAAATAGACAAGATCGGGCGCGGCCACCAGGGGGATCCGTCTTCTGCACTCCTCGAGCTTCTTGACCCGGAGCAGAACTCCTCCTTTTTGGACCACTATATGGATGTCCCAGTGGATCTCTCCAAGGTTCTCTTCGTGTGCACGGCCAATGTCACTGATACGATTCCCCGCCCTCTACTCGATCGAATGGAGCTCATTGAGCTGTCAGGCTATGTTGCGGATGAGAAGATGGCTATTGCTCAGCGTTACCTAGCCCCAGCTGCTAGGGAACTGACGGGCTTGAAGGACGTCGATGTTACTCTGAAAGAGGAAGCTATTGAGGAGCTTATCAAATCTTACTGTCGTGAAAGTGGTGTTCGGAATCTCAAGAAGCAAATCGAGAAAGTTTACCGCAAGGCTGCTTT